GAACACTTTTTAAGTAGAATACCCTTGAAAGTGGAACATTTTTATAAGTAGAATTCCTTTGAAAGTGAAACACCTCTATAAGTAGAATACCCTTGAAAGTGGAACATTTCTATAGATAGAATACCTTTGAAAGTGGAACAACTCTATAAGTAGAATACCCTTGAAAGTAGAATACTTCTTTAAGTAGAATACCTTTGAAAGTAGAACACCTCTATAAGTTGAATAGCTTTGAAAGTTCTATAAGTAGAAAACTTTTGAAAGTGGAACACTTCTATGAGCAGAATACTCTTGAAAGTAGAATACCTTTGAAAGTAGAACATCTCTATAAATAGAATACCTTTGAAAGTGAAACATTTTAATAAGCAGAATTCCTTTAAAATAGAACATCCCTATAAGTAGAATACCTTTGAAAGTGGAACACTTCTAGAACATCTTTGAAAGTGGAACACTTCTAGAAGTCAAACATCTTTGGATGTGAAACATTCCTATAAGTAGCACACCTTTGAGAGTGAAACACTTTAATAAGCAGAATTCCTTTGAAAGTGGAACACCCCTATAAGTAGAATACCTTTGAAAGTGGAACACTTCTAGAAGTCAAACATCTTTGGATGTGAAACATCCCTATAAGTAGCACACCTTTGAAAGTGAAACACTTCTAGAACATCTTTGAAAGTAGAACACTTCTAGAAGTCAAACATTTTTGGATGTGAAACATCCCTATAAGTAGCACACCTTGGTAAGTGGAACACTTTTCAGTACCAATAACCAATTGTCTAATTGTTAATCTAACATCTATAAGGGGAATTCCTCCTAATAAGAACACTTTTTTGTAGAACTAAGGGTGTTTCACTTATGCCAAGCTCACATAAGCTCAGATTCATCATATGGGCTGATTAGTATTTTTCAATATTGGCTGGACGTCGTACAGGCACTGGCAATAATCAATTTAAAGACATTGTATAGGCGCTGGGAGAATTTTTTCTTGGACACATATCTAAAACCTGCCCAAAATTTACATAGCATGCCCCAAAACTAATCAGTTCTACTTTTTTATACCAAGAAACTCTGATTTATTCTCTAGTTTTAGAACCACTTCTAGGAAATAGGCCAAAAATATTTAATTGGACGGTGTTAATATTAAAGGAGGAAGGGGACACATTGTAGGCTTGATGCGAGACTACAAATGTTTGGTTAACCTACCTCTTCTTTCCACTTACTTTTACCATGATGCATGACCAAGATTACTAGTAAATAAAGACCATCTTGGATTACCAAAATATGAAGTCTTCATAGAAAATCAAACTGGTCAGCAACTATGATAAAGTGTTATAAACAGATGATGCTGTATCTATGACAACAGTGAATTCTGTCTCATCCACACTTATAGAGTTAATAATGTTTGTTTCACAATACAGTTAATAAATTGCCTGATCTCTCCTTCTATCAATATGAATCATTAACAGGTTAGCTTACATGATAGGCTCTATAGGAAAAACATTGACAATATGTTTGAAAATGGGTTAATTCTAAAAAGTACAAAGATTAAAAGAACCAAAAGTTCATCCATAATGTTGTAAGACAATACTCATAAACACATGACATGCTAATGGGAGTGATAGGGCACTAGTTCAGTAAAAGGTCATCCAGATAAAAGCTCATATATTTCTAACATAAACAAGTCATGACACCTATATTTTTTAGCATAGGTGTAACTATTTTTTCCAATCGCTATTTATTACAAAGGTGTAGATGAAGCCAGGCACTTGCAAAGGGTCTTCTTAACATGATTCAGGAATTATCTGTTTTCTTAATATATCATCTTCGACATCTCTGTTCTAACATACCTTGGATGTATATGATTATTTTCCTGTCCTGCTACTGTGTGGTTTGTCATGCATGATGATCTTGGCGGAACCAATCAAAAGTGTCCAAATATTTGCTTCATTTTTTAGCCAATGTGGATTCAATCCTATCTTGATTTTTGAAGTTGAAGCAACAGAAACTTTGTGAATCATGCTGATTTATATTACCTATCCAGGCAACCAATATACCCAATTCACAACAAAATGTTACAGATGTATGTTTTACCTCAATAACACGAGTATATTAATTTTAACGTAACTATAATCTTATAATGATTCTATCATCAGGTCATATTAGTGTTTTACGCAGCATCTATTATATACTGTAAACCAATATTAAATATATAGTATTTTCTCAGTCAATAATTCTAGTTGTTACTTTGGAATTAAATGGAGATATTTCATAAATAAAAACTCCAACACAAAGGTGCTAATATTCTTTGTATTAACTGGATGATTTGTGTCAAACTGACTACTATTAAATATAGTCCAAATAAATAAAAGATACATACAGTACAGTACTATATCATGACTCTTATTCTTCAAGTCTAAAATCGTAGAATTTTTACAAGGATTCTTCAATGTTTTAATTCATTAGTCTATTACTCTTTTAGTAAGATATCAAACAATGAAACCCATCTAAACTTCTCTTCAAGGTATACTCACAGATAAACATGTATGAACTCTGCCATTCTTCATAAATGTTCCACAGAATCATTCTTTCGTGTGACTATTAGAATGCATTTTGATTTGTGTTCACCAGGTGATCAGTAGCAGTGATTTTCCAGCATGGAAGCAACTGTACACTACATTGCTTACAAGTCATAAATCACCAAAATTACTAAAATTCAGACTCTGGCAAGGATATGGAGGCTTTTGAAATCAATACTCTAATAATGTAACTCACCTCCGATTTCTTTAAGATAGACAATAAATTGAGATGTGGAGGACATGAAAAAGAGTCTCAAGGTGAAACTTATCAAAATAAATGAGATGACAATAAACAAATACAGACATCATCTGACATCTGTTTCTTCCAGTCAACTACTTAATATTTAACAAATTTATTTATTGCATTACCACAAATACAACAATGTACATGGCATATATATAGCAGCTGGTGATCTGTTACATAGATAACCCATTCTAGCCTTGCCCAAGTCGGTCTCTTTTACTTATCTTGATTTCTATTATGACTGCCTTGTACCAATGAGAAAGCCATGTGCTTTACGGACCTAATGTTTATGTCGGTAAATTTGACTAATCAACGACAGCCCTGCAGTGTTAGCTCATTATTATGCACAGTCAAAACAAAACAATGGTACTTTTCACGAAAAAATCTTGCACAATTCATCTTGAAAATACAAATATTTTATCAGATAAATATCAATCAGAGATTAGTGTATGAATGATCAAACATGAGATTCAGATCAATCACTGAATCAGATTGACCACTACATGGACTAGGTCTTCGTGCATTTTAATCGCAAATTCAGTTTTAAATCAACATTAAATCGCATGATTTAATGAATATAATGACTTCTTCCATTCTAATGTACATTTAATAACATTGAAATCTCAAAACCGATGAATAACTTATCATAATATCAGCAGTGATGTATTATAAAAAAGTATGTATTATAAAATTTTTGGCCTATCTAATTCCTTACCCGGGCAAGATAAATGTGTCGATTTTCCCACCCTGGGGGCAATAAATTTGGTAAAATATTCCGAACCCCTGGGCCCTTCCCCCAAATCAACTCTTTAAACATTTACTTGCGAGTAGGCTAAATGCTAATGAATGTTGATAACTTGATGTATATATCATATGTGTATAACTTTGTTTATATCAATAGGGATACCATATATGGTCATATGATTCTTTGCGGAAAGCCCAGTTAACCAAAAGATGTGGCTTTTTTAAATGACGCAATTACCTGCATAATTAAATCAAATCATAATTAAATCATAATTAAATCATAATCAAAGACAAATCACAAGAAGTGCTGTGAACTGGGTTTGAACCCAAGACCTCTACTTTTCAGCTTGAAGCCAGACTTCTGCTTTTCAGACCAATGGCTTAACCACTAGGCCCACCCGGCGATTATACCAAGTGCGGAAAGAAGTTTGAAAAAACGAAAATGGGGTAAATAAAATATTTTTTTGCCTTGTTATGTTTACACGATTCTCCTGGTAAGCCTATAATATGAAGATAAGACATCGGAAATGGTGTTTAAAATTTAGAATTGCCTGTCGAATAGGCCAATCTAAAGGATGTCGTTATTACAAATGCCGCCAGGTAGCTACGAAATATTTCGAGGAAAATGTGTGACATATACAGTATCCGCGTGAAAAGTCTAGACGAAATGCCTTTCGTTTTTTTTGGTGTTAATTTTTTTGCTGTATCTGCGATCACTTTTTTGACGTTTTTCTACAGAAATATTTTTGCTTGACAATAATCAGGTAAAATGCATATTTGCGTGACATATTCCGCACGCAAGGAAAACTGGCATGACTTCAAATTCTCCAGCAAATATGTGACATATACACAAATTGCGGGACAAACGGCCTGCAATTACATTGCAAGATTAATGAACATGTGCAAAAAACCGAACCTAAAAATGGAACCTCGCGCAGATTGCCCCAAGTGAGAACTTCCTATTATAGATCTAGGTTTAGGGTTTATTCAATTGAATTGTCTGTAAAAAAGTAAAAATGAAAGTGAACTGAAAACTACTGTTGCAAAACAATTCCTAAGCAAAAACAATATACTTACCAAACCTCTTTATGGCCAGTGTGTTGTAGGTTGATTGAATCAATGGCTCATAGACATGTGTTTTGAAAAACAGAAAATATACAAAATCACTGTGAAATTGAAGGATGAGAATAAAAGATAGAAACTGATTGGTGAGTAAGTTTTGGGGACGCGTCATTCAACTGTGCAGTATGCAGCATGCTTTTATTTTTTCATATTTCCACTCATTCACGAAATCAATATCTTCCGTTTCATAACAATTATTTAATTTAATTCTCTTTTACTTCGCAAAACATAAGTAAGATATTGATGAGAAATAGAATAGCATTTAACAAAACACAATTTGACAGGTGCTTGATATGACGTCACATTTCCAAGTTGAAGTAAATTTGCACCAAGAGCGAGGTGAGGATTTCCGTTTTTATTTTGTAAATTGTAGCAAACATCAATCATTCATCAACTCAGCTAATTAATTAAATGATAGTCCAATACATTGACACTATTTTGGAAAAGTAAATTGATCCTCATTGCTAGTGTAGCAGGGTATATCTGGGGGTCCGGTAAGTTCCCAAATTTCCAAACAACAAATTTCCAAACAAAAATGGCGGGTCATTAGGCTAGTTCAACTTCAGCGTTCCAACAGTTTGATTGTGCAAGTCCACGTTTGCTCTTTTTTCCAGCTGAACAACGTTAAAAGTGTCTTATTGCAATTTTGTCAACTATACCAAATTAGCCAGCTGAGGGGGTTAGGGCAACTGGAAATATTACTGAACACTGTGGCCGAAGAATAAGGTAAGCTTATTCAGGGGGCCTAGGGGAAGTCGTCCTATCATCGCACGGGTACTCAGGGAAACTACTGACGACTTCAAATATGATAACTTCAACTTACTTTGAGAATATGAGACGAAAGATCAACCTTTCTTCTAAAATTAAGTACTACTTTTTTCAAGGCCTGACTGCGTCGCTAACATGCTAAATATAAGAGTTACTCCTTGTTAACTGTTAAAAATAATAAGCACATAACTTCGACATATGAGTGTTACCTGATGAATGGGACCCTCACGTGCCTTCTAAATGGTAGTAAACGAACGCTACAATCAAATTTTTTATTCTGTCAATCAGTTCATATGGTTAGAATAAGGAAAGAATGTGATGTAACCACGTGTCTACTTACCGGCTTGTTCTATGTCATCCATCGGACTAGGTTACATCGTGGAATGCAGCCGAACAGGACGCTGAAGGCAACAGCATATCTATCTTGATCTTAGCCGAATTTTTGGAAATTTAGATCGTCCATTTTGCAAGCTCACGTGACTGACACGTGACACATGTCTGATCACGTGACTAGTTACTGTATCGATCATGTGACTTAATCACGTGTCAATGACGTGTCACCCAATCATGTCTTCAAGGAAATCGGAAGTAAATATTTTGGAAAATGTTTTCCGAGCATTTGCTACTGATTATAGAAGGCCCAATTACGCAACGAACGAAACTGCTAAATTGTTTTCGTGCCTAACATGCGCAGTACGCAATGAAAGAAACTGCTAAATTGTATTTTTAGAGCTGTTTATTGATCTATTGATTCATAAAGACCTGTAATGATGCATTCAAATAAGACCGCCTCCTAATGAAAACAGTACACATAAGGTGGTGAAAAAACAACGAACTAAAGTTGAAAGATCGCAACGTTCGCTACTTTGTTCAATTCCGGAAATCTCCAAGGGGCTGCAAATGGGAAATTATTTAGATTTAGATTTTATAACCTCAGAATACTGGCTTCATTGTCGTGTTTGGCTGCGTTCCGCGATGTAACATTACATCACATTCTTTCCTTATTCTAACCATATGAACTGATTGACAGAATAAAAAATTTGACTGTAGTGTAACTACATCAGCTTATCTTTCCGTCCGATCAACAATAAGTACAGTTATACAAGAAATGAGGTTCCATATCCATCCGCCAAAAGGTATGACCCGATATAGTCCATTTAAAAATTTGTGGTTTTGTTCTAAATAACGCCATAGTTGGCTTCTATGGTACCTAGTATGCCTCTATTTGGTATCAAAATAAAGAGGAGGAGTTCAACTTTCATTTGAATTACGAAAATAGCGATGCAGGTCAAAATAGTTCCGGCGTGAGCATGTTTACTATGCGTTTGCCAATCATCTCAGAATTGAGGAAATGGTAGCAAACGCGAGTTACAATAAATGGACGCTGATATCTCAAAAAGAATTAGCCCATACAATGACTATATTTTTGCAATCCCCTATACATAACCTTCATCTTGACACTATATTTAACATAGGGTTTGTGTCTCGATTTTTAAATATCGCTACGCCAACATAGGGACTCATTTTTAGGTAAAATCCCTGCTTCCCCGATGAAAATTAATGAATAAAGTAGTTCCTGTTTAGGGGACCATATTCTTGAGATTTTTTGCTAAAAATGGCACATTTAGAAAGTACTTGGCCTCAGCTTTACATACATACCTCAAATGGCCACAGTACATACACTTACACCTACTATACACACCACTGAAGTTGGCATTGCTTCGTTTTTAAAGTATTAATAAAAAACACTTCCTACCCGGAAGTGATATTTACCGTAATAACACCTTATATTACCGAACATGGGTTTAAATGGAATGTTTTTTTGATGGCATTATTACACCAAAAGTAGTGCGAAAATGGCCTTTTCATGGGTTGGCATAAAGTTTTGATGAAATTTAAAGACACAGTTCCTCCTTCACGTATATTATCTCATGGAAATGGGCATACCAGCGCAAAGATCTTCGTTCCGTGGGGAAGAAAAGCTATCAAACATTGTCTGAAGAGCAGATTTATCTCCGTAATTCAACTTTTAGCATGGCGACCTTGACCTTGAAAAAAATATAGCCATTTGGGCGATAATAGGTGATTCAAAAGTAAAAAATAGTGCTTTTTCGAAGTTTTACTTTTACCATGTCAACTTGATTTTTCAAGGACATCCGCCTGATAGTTGTTGGGCCAAGTTTGATGGAAAATGGGCCTTGTTTGATATGCTGGCAGTGAGGTTGATTGTGGCAAGTAGTAAAACGGCAAACAATGGTGGAGTCATACCCGATGCTTGGATGTTCGCATTTTATTTAGCTCTCGTAAAATGAACGAACAAAAGTTCCATTTTCACGCATGTTCGGTAATATAACGTATCATAACTTCCGGAAATGACATGCCTTTCGGAAAAGTTTTGGAAATATTTTCACTTCGTTTACATTTCTTGTATAACTGTATTTATTGTTGATCGGACGGAAAGATAAGCTGATGTAGTTACACTAGCGTTCGTTTACTACAATTTAGAAGGCACGTGAGGGTCCCATTCATCAGGTAACACTCATATTTCGAAGTTATGTTCTTATTATTTTTAACAGTTAACAAGGAGTAGCTGACGTTTGGGAGTCTGACTTACCTTCTAAAGGTTAGAACCCGAATCTTAATGAAACCATATCACCTTTGTTCCGTCAACCATGGAGCATTTGCCACAACATCCAAGAGGTAAATCATGGATCGAGAAAATGAATGATTTCCTTGTAAGTTCCGGAAGTTTCAATACGAAAAATTACCGAACATATGTGAAAACCGAATATTTGTTCGTTGTTTTCACGATTTACAGGTTCGTTTGTTCTTCAATGTTTTGGTCTAAATTATAAAGCATCACCAATAGGTCTTACTCTATTAATCGACTAATACAGCAGACGGCTCATATTTCTACGTAGCATTTCATTCAGACCAGTAGTGGGAGTGTAGATCACGCAGTTTCGTTCGTTGCGTACTTCACTTGAAATTGGTAATTTTAAATATTGACTTCTTCACTTAGCTTGGCGGATGTAGAACATTGCTTAATATTCTTTTAATTTTCACACCAGACATGCTTGGTTGACACGTCAACAAAGTAAAGTTCAAGGGTCAATGCGTTATTTCGTGATACCTACAACGCCTTCCCGGAAGTCAACATTGATGAAAAATGAAGAAGTCGGAAAAGCATTTACGCTAATTTCTATCAAGTGCTATGTTTATGCATCATCATCGACGCAACAAAGGTGATATGGTTTCATTAAGATTCGGGTTCTAACCTTTAGAAGGTAAGTCAGACTCCCAAACGTCAGCTAACTCTTATATTTAGCATGTTAGCGACGCAGTCTGGCCTTGCAAAAAGTAGTAGTGTTTGTCATTTCTCAATCTCCAAACGCTAACACTTTAAGACCCCTTAGACTCGCATGTGCGGTGGTCCTAATTATCGCACAGTGGTCCTAATTATCGCACAGTTGTGTTTCAGATGTCATTTCACGATACTGTATACATTTCTCTGTTTATAACAGATACATACATATGCTATAATCATTTTTCTATCAGTTTTAGTGTAAAATATCAACAAAATATACATTATGCAATTACCTTTCTTTCTTTATTTGGAGGGGGGTCAAACTTTGTCAGACGAATTTCACTTTTTGCGCAATAGCATTTATGACAATAGCGGAAGCAGGGCTTGCATTAACGGCGTCCCTTACATGTAAGTGACGCAAAAAAAAATTGTAGGACGGAAAAATAAAAAATATTTCCGTTTTTGGGAAGGAAAAAAAATTGAGTCAAAACTTTGAACATTTTTTGAAAATCTTGAAAATCTCAATAGTTGATCATGTTTGACTTCTTTGAGGTGTATATTAAGATCAAAATATGTGAGATTTACAACTTTATTTTGAGTAAAAAAGAAAAAGAATGCAGAAAAACGAACTATTGTAATGGGCGATAATAGGTTATCAGTTTGCATGTGACATATTTTTCTCACTGAAAAGCTGATATAAAACCTTCAAAATGAGTTCAATTGTACAAATGATGCATACTTACCTAGGTGAAGTAGTCTATTTGTGATTATATAACGTCAAAATGGTCTAATTTATGATATAAATCAGAGGATTCTGATCATGTAGAAAATGTAGTGCTACACTAAATTACTGAGCGTCAGACAAATTCATACTAAAAAATGTTCTTATTTTTTCAAGCAGTTGTTCAGTGCAAACAGCAAGTATAAAGATAATCACAGTATAATAGTACTTACTATAACAGGCTGGAGGTTACATAACATAAGTGAATTGAATATAAAGAACATGTTTAAATCACAGGGCACGAATGGCAACATTTTGAAAACACATAAGACATGTATTAAAAATCAAGTCATGCTCATTCCAAAATAGCCCATTATAGCTAATTTAGCTAATTTAGCTTATATATTGGAGGACACGCTTTTTTCTGTCGGGACTCACTTTTTAAATTTTTTTCCTTCATTGGGACTCACATTTTTCAGAGCCTAATGCAAGCGCTGCGGAAGTAAACAATTCTTAAAAAATGAAGAGATATTTCTAAATATATGAATAAATCATGAAGATTGGGAGTAATGGTGTCGAACTGTTTTTCGTAACACTGGTTTAAAAGATGGTGGGTGCATATTTTAGCTATTTAGGACAATCGTGCGATAATTAGGACCGTGCGATAATTAGGACCATTTCCCCTATTCGACTTGCAGAGTGAGTCTCGATAACTTGATTCACAGATGTTGGCCTGATCGTTTTGTAGTAGGATATCATAGGCTCAAAGAATAACTAGAAGATGCGTCACTAAATTAGAAAATTTCAAAAAAAGTGACCACCTTTCAAAATGCTACTTATACAAAATGGTACATGCTTCCATGACAGATTTTGCACTTATTTCATAGCTGAGAGCTTCATATTTCTATTTCTACTTGTTTTGTTTGATTCGATTATACAACCTATGGACATAGTAATTCGACTTTTAATATGGCAAATATTTTTTTTCACTTGATCCAGGCTCTTGTGTGTCCAAATATCAATTAATGCTGACATCACATTTCTGGAATCGCAGGAGTACCATTCAGATTTGGACAGACAAGAGCCCGAAGATAAAACATCACTATTTTGGCCTCTTATCAACACAATATTTTTTGAATACCGTTCATTAGTTCAACTGTAAAGAATAACAAGATGCTTCGATTGAAGTATGATTTGTCTGATATTTTTCTGAAATGGCTGTACAATCGTCATTTTAAAATTTGAAATTTTCGCAGTGACATATCTTCTGAATTATTCTTTGAGCTGCTGATCCAACTACAAAAGAATTTGGCTGGGATCAACAGTGGGGGACATAAAGAATTACAAAAGCTATGGAAATTACATGCTGTCGCACATGTAATAAATTCTTACCTCAGTGTATTCAGTGCTCTATTTTCTCCGTCCTAGTAAATCCAGATATAGTCGAATTCGTGGCCATAATGACAAATAAGAACTTAAAAATTTGAAGTGGACATTCACATGTTAATGCCGACTCTTCAAATGTTGAGGTGATTTTGGAGCCTGATTACGTCGCCAATGTGGATTGGCTCCCAGAATGCAACATGACACGTGTCAGCCTTCAAAATGCCGTTCCGCCATTTTGAAATCTGCCACGAGTAAATAAGGTTACCTGATGTTGCATTCTGGGAGTCAATCCTCTGGATCACAAACATGGCGATTCATGAAAACATTTGTTCGATTTGGTAGGGATTTATCCATCATTTGCAGGTATGAAGCTTTGGATTCATTTATTGTGCTACTTAAAGTGAATGGGAATTATTTTTCTACCGCTTGGGAGAGTTTGAGACATGAAACTAAGAATTAAGCTCATTGTGACAACTTTTGAGGGTTGAGTTTTATTTTTGTCCCCCACTTTATGACTCGACTTAACATCATGGCATGTGGAATAACTTATACTAAGAAAAAAGTTTGCATTAGAGAAAGATTTGATTATCCCAATGAACGAAGTTCGGTAGGGATAACAGAAGTATGTGTCCAACAGACTGAATGAGATTGATATTCATTACATGGAAATCTTTGTGATATTTTGTGCATATAAATTTCTCGTTTATTCCAAGAAAATTGGAGAATATGTTGAAGAGATGTTCTTCTAAACATTAAGAAGCAAAAATATTTATATAAGGCGGTACATGTTGATCGAAATAATGAAATGTTCAATCTCACCAAAACATCAGTATGGCATTATAAGTAGGTCACGCAACCAATATCAAGGACGTTTGAGTTCAGGAGATCCAAAAGAGATTTGCAAATATTTGAACTTTGACTCATAACCTCAAACACATGACCACTCGATCAGCTCAGCCTTCTTCATGAATATTCCCACTCTGTTTACCATTCATGACATAAATCAATCGGGAGAATAATAATACATGAATGACAGTCAACATTAAATTGATAGATCGTAATATGTTATTCATAAATTGCATTTATAAATATACTTCCGTAATGTTGCTCCGCCTCTCCATGTGTTCTTTGTTTACAAATAGACTGAGGTTATTGGTTAAATCGCGTTTTGTGTGAGAATTGGGATTGCTAAAATGGCCAATGCTTTCACTACAAGAAGCGTCTGTATATTTTATGAATATTTTCAGTAAGAGGACAGTACACGTACATGTAACATGGTGCCTGGTGTTTAGCTGTAGCAATGGAAATGTTAGAAATTGAATCAAAACATTGAAGAAATTCAGACATTTTTTTGAAAAAAGTCTCTTTTCACCCTCTGTACTAGTAACATTAGATTCCAAGAATTTGCCAAAATTCTATGAATTCCATGAATGAACTATGTTAAATTTTTGAAGGAGTTACAAATATCCAAAATGATAAATAAACAGATTCAAATGTGATAAAACAGTTTACAAACTATTCTAAACATAGCATAACATAAACATAACAAGATGGTTGCTGCTAAATGACGGAACTTTTTCAGGAAAAGCTGAAGTTTTTCATTTCAAACCATTAAGTGATAAATATTATTGTTTGAAATTTTGGTAGTATATTCACAACATTTATCTATTTCAAATATGTCCTGTGTTTTTCACCCTGACCCCCCGGGGAAGGGTATGAGGGTCGCAGAAACAGAAATTTTTGTTAATTTTGAGATGTTTCTGATGTAGCCTATAACTTTCAATGTACGCAAGAGACGCATTGTGTCAGTCATCGCTAAAGCTCTGGGGCTTTTCCTCCTCTTGGCTATATTATACTCAAATTGAAAGAATTTTAGAGTAGATCACAATTATGGTATTGTTTTCCTGATTCATGCTTAGAAAATTCAAAATGGCTGCCTAGAGTAGAATTCAATATTACTCTGAGATTTCTTCTTTAGGTTATATTATACGATATTAGATCTCAATATTGTATTGTCTTTATAATTTGTGACTTTGAAACTCCTAAATGGTCACCAATTTAAAAAATAAATATTGTTAGAAAAGAGTGGAGTAGATGTTAATTTTATTATTTTATTTATTTATTGCACCTTTAAAATCAAAGGACTACAGTGTTATGTCATATGAAAGAATGTCTTTATATTTCAGATCATTTGCAAAGAGGCATTATGGCAAGTGGTGGACCCCCTATCGGGAGGGCAGGGAGAGCCGCCCAGTTGTTAAAAGCTGTACAACAGCCTGTTCGGAGACCAGGGGAGCATGAGGAACAAGCCTCACCAGCCCCAGTGCCCCAGGCTCAGGTATGTTATGCCAATTGCAGACCTTCAACCTCAACAATCTAACAACATGATTAAATTATCCCATCAAACAAATTTTGGGAGATGAAGAGAAGGTAAAAAGTAGTGGAATGATTTTGTTTATATTTGATATGTGAATACTTAGAAGCACCATCCAATGACAATTTGGATAATAAGAGGCCATTTCCAAAAATTGCAGCAATGACTGTTCGATGGGATTCGCATTGCTGTTATCTAGTTAAACTAGGGAGTAGTAGTTTCCTGTAATAGGTTAAACAATTTCAGTATTTTTGCCCATTATTTTCATTTGATTTGCCTGTTGCCAGCAGGGTGCGTCATAAGAGCCAATTACTCACTGGTCAAGCGGACCAGTAGGTACCTTAAACAACTGGTCCGCTACAAAATATACTGGCCCGTATATAATGACTTAATTTTCAAAATTAGACAAACTCCGACATTGGGCCCTATTTGCAGTGCATGTGGTAGTTATCCCAACGAACGAAGTTCTGTAGGGATATAGTGAAGCACTCCGTCCGTCCATCTGTCCGTCCGTCAGTCAGTCCGTCCGTCTGTCCGGAAGATAACTCGAATACTAGTCGACAGATTTTCTTCATATTTGTTGGAAAGATGTATATTGGTGAATAGTTTTACGCAAATACAATTTTTTCAAGATGGCCGCCAGTTAAAAAATGGCGGGAATTTTCCACAAAAATCTTTTGTTTTTCATTTTAAACCAAAATAATAAATATTATTATTTGAAATTTTGGTAGTATATTAACAACATCTATCTATTTCACATATATCCCGGGTTTTTCACCCTGACCCCCAGGGGCCATAAATGGGGGATTGGAAAAACAGGAATTTGCGTAGATTGTAAATATTGTAGCGTTTTTCAGTTTCGGGCCTCAAAAAATTCAAAATGGCTGCCTAATGCGGGATTTCGCAAAAAATTTCTGATCTCTGAGATCTGATAGACATAAAACTACGATTTCTGTTGTTATTTCCGGGCAGCCATTGAAAATAAATCTTGAGGGTAAATCTCGAGGGGCCCCGAGACCTAATTCGAGAGCAGGAAGTCGATCAAAAAAAAAAGAAAATTTGAAAATGTAGGCGGTAAAACTTCACTAAAATACACCATACAGCAGGTAGTAACAAAGATTTTAATTCATAGGGAAATAGCTTATTATGTTGTGAGTTCCCACTGTCGATCAAGAGGCGTTGTGTCGACATGTGTGTAGCAGGGAGCATTCGACTGACAATCGACCATTCCGACATTTGATGCCAGCTCTACTTAAAAGTATGGCTATATTATACTCAAATTGAAGGTATTTCAGAGTAGATCACAATTATGGGATTGTTTTTCCGATTTGCGCCTCTGAAAATTCAAAATGGCTGACTAGAGCAGAAATTCGCCATTACTTGGAGTTATCTTGAAAGTATGGTTACATGATACTACAATGATTTAAAATATTTATTGAAGGTAAGAGTAGATGGTAAATATTACATTGTGACTGTACAGATTCAAATAAAATCGAAAGTGAATTCTATTTCATACCTAGTTTATCATCGTAACCCCCTTAAAATGTTAGATCGACTGGATTTTCATGTATTTGGTTCATACGATCAAGTTCAAACCTAGTGAATATAGCCTCTCAACTCGGGGAGTATATTAAACATACTTGGTGAGAACTAGATCATCAGTCATGGATAAACCTACTGCGCATTGCTTCTGTGCACCGAGAATCAGGGATCCGCTCATTATTAAGAAAGTAATCTTATTAATGCATAACGAAGCCTTTGGTTCTTAAATAATTCAATGCAATGTTTTATAAGGTAATATAAGAGAAATATCTGATCGTTAACACCATATGAAGCATTGATCAGTTTGTTTTGCATTTTTGATACGCCCCCGTGACTTCATCGGAGAAAAGGCAAGAAAGTACCTCATTTCGCTTAAGCGATTTAACATTCAACGAAAATACCTGTTCTTTACTGACCTGGAAATAAGATGACAAAAACTTCGAAATATGAATTTATTTTCATAAAATCCAGCAGAAATGTTGCGTAAATAACAAGTATGTCTTTGTAAATTGTGTCCGCCATTAAGCACTGGTTTGTTACTATATGTACTCCACCAAGAGGTAGACTGGTCAACCGGGCTGGTGACTTTTAAAGTGAACTGGTCCGTATCAAAAGTAACTGGTCCCGGGTGCTCGGGCCGATGCTTATGACGCACCCTGGTTGCCAGGCATTTTAATTAAACCCCAGGTTACCCCTAGGGCTGCTTTTACATCATGTTAACTAATGGTTTTTATCCAGGGAGCTAAGGTTGAATCACCAGCCCCTGTAGTGCCCGTAGGCAGGGGGCTCATGATGAAAAAGATGCTGGAAGAGAAGAAAAAGAAGGAGGCTGAGATGGCCCAACAAGGAGTTGAGGCTCCAAGGCCTGTTGGAAGAGGGGCATTAGCCATGCAGTCATTGGCAAGGTATGATTGCTACATTGAAATACAAAAGATTTTATATCATAAGTGATTTTGGGATCTATTGTGCAAATAAATATCAAAAATTCGCGACACGCATTAAAATGTTAAGAAGACTATTTTTGTTGTATCATATGTATTAATCTGAACCTGAACCTCTAAAAAGTATTATTCTATACATCTACTTCAGTGCTCTACCAGTAACACCTGGGACCCCTCCTAGAGTGAAACAAGCATCCCCACCCCAGAGAATCTCCCCTCAGAAGCCATCACCCCAGCAACAACAGACTCCAAGGCAAGCTACTCCTGGTCAGCCCCCTGCAGAACAGGAGAGAAAATCTCGTCTGATGTTTGCTCTGGAAAGGGAGGAGAGGCCAGGAGTTCAAATGAAGGGAACTTCAGGCAAACAGTATGTTTAATTTACACTTCGAGGGGACAGACCTCGAAAGCATCATCATAAATGGATATTATAAGTCCGTCATCGGTCTCTTAGAATAAAATCTATCTAGTCAAAATCTTGTGAAAAATTAACTAATTAGAGAACCATTAGAAGTACTATAGATACACTTTATTTGGCTAATGTTTTAATTTGATGGATTGGCTGATTGAAAAAGTCCGCCAAATTCAAAATCCGCCAATTTTCAGATGTTTTTTGGAATATTCCAAAATCACTGAAACTAAACTAAGATTTCACCTGTTTAAGTATTCCTATTTGGATTTCAGTGCTCTACCAAGAATTACTGTAAGTTGTACACATGAATCTGAAATGCTTATTCCCAGATATGATCAATGATAAAAGTTAAAACTCAGTCCCGAATCCGTCAAATTAAATAGTCACCAATATTTGAAATTGAGCAAATCCGCCAAATTGAGTAGTGTCAAAAATTAAGTGTATCTGCAGTATTAAAACACATCAGATAATATCCTAGAATATATTGAATCAAACAACTATGAAAAAATGATTTTCCTCTTTAATATCTTGATTTTTGGACTGCTTTTGTGCAACCTTCAATCGTTAACATGTTACTCAACAGCTTTATATCAATTCAAATGTATGGCAGGTGAGCAAATTATTCATTGTGTGTTCAGATGTTGAATTGAATTCTATTTTTTTCTAGAATACACCTGGCTACTAACTATATTAGAGTAGAATCTTTGACGCCAGAGATGTATCAATATCATGTGTCCTTTGAGCCAAATGTAGACTCTAGGAACATAAGGTTTAAACTACTCAATCAGCACAGGGATATAATGCCGTATAAGGTCTTTGATGGAGCAATGCTGTTCCTTCCATATAATTTGGGAAAGGTTGGTACTTTTTCAATGAAATCCAAGTACAGAGAAGACTCCATAATGATTACATTTTTTCAGAAAAATATGTCAGTCTGACTTGCTTAGCTCCTCTGAACATGCATTTTAACTATATTTGTTGCGTATAAGGACATCTTCATTTGTGTTTGTGTTCAAGTTTTACTGTATTTAGATTTCATTAAATGAATGCATGTTGTTACTCTTACACAAATTCATGTACTTACATCCTGATTGCAGACTTAATTCATTTTTTTTCTCACATAGGAAAAATTATTGACAGCAGAACGTCACACTGATGGAGCAAAGATCACCATCAAGTGCACTCTCACTAAAGTGGTGCCTCATGAGCAGAACACTTTCATCTTTAACAATCTGTTCAATAGGTATGTCATCTTTATCAAATTCATCATTATGTAATCTCTTTCAATATTCAACCTTAAGTGGTGCCTCATGAAAAGAACACTTTTATCTTTAACAATCTGTTCAATAGGTATGTCATCTTTATCAAATTCATCATTATGTAATCTCTTTCAATGTTCAACACTACTATTGACAACCTACAACTCGATTTTGAATTGTGGATAAAGACAATTCAACAGCTCACAACTTAATTATCCCATCGAACGAATTTCGGAGGGATATAGGGAACGCCTCCGTCCATACGTACGTCCGTCCGTCCGTCTGTTCGTCCGTCCGGGCAATTACTCAAATACCGTTGGCCCGATTTTGTTCATATTTTGTAAACATATGAAAGCCGATTTTCAAAATGGCCACTCATTTCAAAATGGTGGCCATTTTAGTGATGATTTTACAGTAATTTAGGTGCAATTTGTAAAACTGTAATAGCAATACCTTTTAAATGTAAAAAAATTATAAAGGACATTAATAATGCTACAAATGTAGATATTAAAGAAGCACATGGCAGCCATCTTGAAAAATGGTCGCCTTTACTCGTCATTTTACGATTTTTGCTGTAACTCAAAAAATAGTAGAGCGATTTTGTTCATATTTGGTGTGTGAATACTATAAGCATTGCACACTGTCTAAAGACACTTTTTGGTAGAAGGCGGCAATTTTGAAAAATGGCCGCCATTTAATATGCTGGTCTGGTGTGTTATATTGCTATAAGCATGGCACACCATGGCTGCCATTTTAACGTATTTTACTATAACTCGAAAAGTAGTGAAGCGATTTTGTTCATATTTGGTATGTGAATACTATAAGCATGGCACACTGTCCTATGACACTTTTGGTAGAAGGCGGCCATTTTGAAAAAGAAATTTGAAAAATGGCCGCCATTTTAACATATTTTATTATAACTCGAAAAGTAGTAGAGCAATTTTGTTCGTATTTGGTACTATAAGCATGGCACACTGTCTATTTCTAATGACACTTTTGGTAGAAGGTGGCCATTTTGAAAAATGGCCGCCATTTTAACGTATTTTACTATAACTCGAAAAGTAGTGGAGCGATTTTGTTCAAATTTGATATGTGAATACTTTAAGCATGGCACATTGTCTAATAAAACTATGCGGAGTAGTCGACCATTTTGAAAAATGGCCACCATTTTTATGTGTGTTATTTTACAAGTTCGTGTGCGATTTTTCAAAAATTTTAGAGGTGGCTACTTAAAAGCATATTATTTCTTCTGATGACAACTTGGCTAGTGAGCAACCATTTTGAAAATGGTTGCCTTTCTGGTGTGTTGTTTTATGATATTTGCTATTCGTTTGTAAAAATGCCAGCCATTTCTGTTCGATGGGATTCGCTACGCTTTGGCGTTGCCGTTGTTCTGGTTTTGAATGATAATTTCAAATTCAGTTATGATGAATTGATGATAGAGATTTGTAACATCCCTTGTTGATTCACAATTTGTGGTGTTACACTCAATGTTCTCCATGTTAAACTAAAATTTCCTGATGCACTTTAATAGCTCTCCACGCACCACAATCTCCTTTTGCACTACAATATCTTAATGCTTAACCATAATATGGAGTCATAAAGATATAATACATCAGTCATTACTTATGATAAACCCTATGTTGCCCTACATGAGGGAACTGTTAATAAACTACAACATTATTGTATTTTAGAGTACTAGAAAAGCTGAAAATGGTCCAGATCGGTCGGCATTACTATGACCCTCATCGACCAGCAGATGTACCCCAACATAGGTAGGCTATATTCCCTTAAGGGGCTGACTTATTTCCGAAAATCAGCAGAAAATACTTCAAAACACTTCTAAAAACAATAAACAAAGTCAAAAGTTCGATTTTATTTTTCTGAAGATTTAAACTACAATGAACGAAAAACAAAAAGGCGAATGTATGGGGGGGCTGGGTCCCGGGACACACATAGGTAGAGGCAGGAGATTCAAAAGTTGTACAAAGTCTTATTTGGTCCCTTAGACCCTTAGGCTTAAGGCTCTGTGTATACTCTATGTAATTGTACTTCTTGTAAACATTACATCTTATCTGTATTGTGGCACATTTTAACATTTGATGAAACATAAATGAATGCTTATTATGGCAAGAGGACACACTTATTGTAAAAAACTGCTGACAGTATGAAAAATATGTTCCAAGTTGTATCCTGTAGTAGATTAACTTAATAACTTGATAAATTGAAATTGCTTTTCAGATTGCAAGTGTGGCCAGGATACATCACTGCTATTGAGAGGCATGAGGGTGGTCTCCTATTGCAGGCAGATGTTTCTCATAGAGTCCTCAGGACAGAGACTGTACTTGATGTGCTGTAAGTGTATCTACAAACAAATTTGTATTCAGAAAACTAAAATTAAACCAAGTCACCTGTATTGTATAAGTGGTATTAATCTGAGCAATTTATTTCCCGAATGGCCGATACCAACTTTTTTCTGAATTTTAATTTTCTCAGTAAGCATATTGTGTAAATCAGAGGTGTGTTAAATCGATCATCAATTAATTGATTGACACAGGTTTAACCGAATTAGGTTTTTAATACGTAATTAAATGATTCTCAAGTTAATCTTCAATATTCCGCCGCTTGTAAGCTTATGTTGACTGTTTGAGCACTTAAAGTCAGGTTGACATGCTAAGCTCGAAACTCAAACTGCCAAACAAACCAATTACCCTAAGACCAACCTCTCCTCTCCAGGGAAAAAAAGTTATGTAATTTGGTGATAATATTTTTACATCTCTTGCTGTGTTTGAATTCAAACAAACTTGCTGCTTATAATCTCAGTAATACTGACTGCACTCTTTGACTTTGGAAATAGGTGACTCAATTTGAAGGCTTCCATTCACAATGTAGATATTATCTTTCCAACATTTTATTTCCTGACACTATAAGCATAATTTGGAAATCGGAAAATTAAATGTCTCAGGAAAATTTACCACTTATACAGTATATTTTCAGTTTTTGTCTGCTACTGTCATTCAGCTGAACAATACTCCAAAGTTGATTGCATATGATATACTCTTATAACATATCTTATCCTCTCATGTATTTTATATTAATACAGATAAATTGGGAAAAGGATCTTTCAAACTTACTTTTTCATAAATAATCTGTAGCATGCTCCTAGCCGTTTTTAGTTTATTTTGCTTGCATTATTGGTGAATGAAACTGATGAAATCACATCTGATTTTAGAAATTATGATTTACACCTGACCTGACATCACTCCCTATAAGCCTAACCTGTGATGACATTACATGTATGACATAGCATTTGTAAACATTTCTTATATAAGTGAATCACTTTTGCACATTTTGTAAATACAGGGACACACTGGTTAAGAGGTCCCCCCAAACTTTCCAAGATGAGGCGGTTAAGCTCCTTGTAGGCACAACTGTATTGACAAGATACAATAACAAGAACTACAGAGTAGATGACATAAATTTCTCTATGTCGCCTGAAGATACCTTCGCCAATTCCAAAGGGGAGGAGACTTCCTTTTTGGAATATTACCAGAGGGCCTATGGTAAAGAAATTCGGGACAGACACCAGCCATTGCTTATCAATCGGCCAAAGAAACGAGAACAAGGAGCTGTAAGTTGCTTTATATTTTCAGATTTCACTTGAAAACATATTTAGTAAAACTAACAAGTAGAAAAGTAAACTAAAACATCGCATCCAGAGTAATTATAGAACACACATAAAACCAATATCTAGCACCTCCCTTCATATTTCAAAAAACTTAACTACTTTTCAATCATGATTTGTTTGTTTTCCAGCACCACCTGGAACAAATATGCCTCATTCCGGAGTTGTGCTATTGCACAGGGCTCACTGACAGTATGAGACAAGATAATAGGGTTATGAAAGTAAGATACTATAAGGTTATATAATGGTTGATTCTGTATATCGTGTTTATACTCAAGTGAGTATATAATATACTCACGAGAGTGTAACGATATACAGAATCAACCATTATATGATCTTATTATCCCACACTAATCTTTAATCAATAAAAGGTTAATCTAAATTCAGCAGTTGTATATCAAGTCGAAGAGTTGTATACGCTGCCCAGGAGTTGTATACGCTATAACAGCAAGCCATAAATCATATGTTTTTGATCAAGACGGATAGGGGTGATATTGGAATTAATGTGATGATATCAGGTTTGATATCCATATTATCCTGCTAAAATATCACTATCACCAATATAACTCCATGTATATATTCCCGGGGAATCAATTGAGTCTTAATTTGGGGTTACAACAACATTAACATGGCTAAATCAACAAAACCTAAGAAGTCTAATACTAATTATCATGGCGTCTTCTAGTAGTGAATCTAGTCAAGAACAGTTGACAGTCACAGACAGAGAGTGTCGTTCCTATTATTCTGTTCACATGTTATTTTTAGTCATAATTTTTTACACACTTCTGCCATACATGTTGGTATCCATAATTGTATAGTTTTGTAGGGCCAATAATGCTAAATTCATCTAAGGCCCAGTCATATGTATTTTAATCTGCTCATCTGTATAAATAACTAAATACTAAAAATTAGGCATATTTTAGTTTGAATCCCACTGTTATTTAAATATTTGGTAAATAAAACACCAGAGGGGAAAAAATAATTTTTATGGTTTCAGAGTTTGTCAATTTTTCCATTAAATTAATGGTGATCTGATGTAAATTAAATATGCAAGTATTTATATTCCAGGACCTTGCCTCTCATACCCGCATCACACCCGAGAAAAGGATAATCGAACTGCGAAAATTTATTGATGCCGTCACTTCCAACCCTGAGGTTGTGGCCATGTTAGAGGGATGGGGTCTGAGATTACACTCCGACATAATGGACACCAGTGGGAGAACATTACCTCCTGAGGACATCCTCACTGGTGGTCGTTTAATCAAAGGAACTGTCCAGGCTGATTGGGGTCGTGACATTGTCAGAAATAATGTCATTCAAGCGGTATGTTGAATAAGCAAGCCAGTGGAATTCATCATAATTGAATCAAGTCAGTTTTAAGAACAATCTGTTAACAAAAAAATTTGCTCTTTGATTTATTTACTTAATATCGTAGCTGTCTGACATATTGAATTTTTTCAATTTTTATTTACTATTATTAACTCTGTTCTAGGTGGACTTGAGGTGCTGGATTGTAATTGTTACAAACCGTGACCGCCAGAGGGGTCAAGATTTTGTTGAGAACTGTGGTAGATCATGTGGGGCAATGGGAATACGAATGGCCCAACCAAATGTGATAATCATTGAAAATGACCGAACTGAGTCCTACCTTAAAGCAATCAGGAATTCCATCAATGAACAGGTGAGTGATTTGTTAAATTGTTTTCACTTCTTATCTTAAGTCTAAAATCAATAATAAAAAGCTTGCTACAAATATATAACAAATACTCAACTTTGAACAAAAATAATAAAGCATATCTATCAAGTCAAACGGACTGTAATCAAAACTTAAATATGTAAAACATGAGTGTCCTATTTCTCATTTTTCAAATAACTACTATTAAACATATTTTGTAAAATTGACAAAAAATAAGTAATGGATACAGTCAAAATATGAATTATCCTTTTTTCAGGTTCAAATGGTGGTGACCATCTTCCCCACTCTGCGAGAAGATAGATACAGTGCTGTGAAGAAATGTTGCAATATTGAGTGTCCTGTAGCGTCTCAGGTATATTATATATTACCTATATCATGATACAGTGACTTCACTAGAATTTTTCAACAGGCTAAATAAATGAAAACAACAGGCGAAATTGATGGAAATCATACTGGTAAAAATTGCATGTTGCCTGCTGCTAATGAAACCCCTGTGATAGCCTAGGTTATTTTCATCATTGATCTTCACAACAATTGGGTGCAGCTTTCAGCAAAGGAACACGAAGCTCATTATATACTCCAGGGTGTTTCTCCATTACTATTAGCTCATAAATATTCCATGCTGTCATCCATGTCATAAAAGACTGTATATGTGTTTGTTTATGTTTTTTGGCCAACTTTAATTCACCATTGTCACTACATATTATTTGTTCATTTCCTTGTACATCGATATACTGATTATATAGATTTGTTGGTAACAATTCCGTCATATTGACGTACTCACCATTGACTATCGATTTTGAGATCTTAGGTGGTACTCCAACTTTGCACCCTTCATGTGACACTTGTAAATTAATGTCTCCTGTGTGCACATTTGATGGCAGTGGAGGTTGTTCAGGTAACAATGGCAAGGTTTGAACAGGTTTTGAAATGTTTTGTAACATAAAAGTTCGCATTTCGTCTTGGTCTTTTTGTATCTTTGATGTTACTACTGTTAATTCGGCAATTTGTTTACCCATTTCGAGAATAGCATTCATCCATGGGGGTTGTGTCACTTGTGTATGTTCCACTTCTTCCTTTGTGTGAAAATTCATATTTTCATTTGTTTCTTTAATCGTGCAACTCGGACCGTAAGGCCCTAAATGTCCTTTCGTGGGATTTCCACACATACTACAGCTCTCGCACCTTCTTCTGTTTCGGACATGTTAACAAAGTTCTATAGATGATAAATTGATAAAAATCTCACAAAACTTCAAAATTAAAAATCATTTTTTCAAGACCCCATGCGAACTTCCGCCCAGAGTGCAATTTTACACTGAACGAATATTGATCCCCGGGGATATTTCATACATCTCTTACATTAAAATTAATTTATAATATAAATATACAACTATGTTTTCAATGTCAGGCCAGGTGCATATGTCTATCCTGTTATACATTCAAGATTTCAGAGATTCATTTTAGTGAGAGATTTGGAAAGATTTTGACTAAATTGGGTTTCAAACATCTTCATCTCATTAGATTCTTGGTTTTGGCATGTTGGTTAATGTTTCAAGCATAGTTATTATTTCCTAATTAAAAGAATATGGGAACTAATTTTTGAGCCTAATGAGATTGACTAGGCATCCATTTGTTGGTCCATCCTTTCACCAAAGCCACAGCTTGTATACTGCATTGGACTTCTTGGGGTTTTCAGGAGAAATTGGTTGTGGCATCATATTGCCTTACCCATATCAACAATAGAAATTAAACAAATCAAAAGCAAGTGAAGCACTTATAAAATTACTTTTAAATATCGGGCATATATTGCATTCAACTTGTTAGCAGTAGAACCCCAAACTGACAAAAACCTGCATATCAATTTAATGTTCCGAACAATTATGAAAATGCTGGATCAGCTAAGGCTTTATACAACCATGCATATTCCCTTTATGAACTTCTGTATTATTGTCCATTTCATGTACATATATACATTATATATATTATACATGTATGTACATATGTACATTAAAATTAAGTTCATTTTCTTTGCAGGTGATCATATCGAAGACCATTGGAGATCCCAAGAAGTTGCGTAGTGTCTGCCAGAAGATTCTATTGCAGATGAATGCCAAATTGGGAGGTGAACTCTGGGCTGTTGCCATACCACCAGTAAGTAGGACTTAACATGTAGATGAACACATCATTTCATACCAAACCCTCTTACATTTAAGTGGCAAAAGCTATGTAATAGCAGATAGAAAACATCTAATTTACGGCGAAAACATACTTAAATGACAAATGGATATTTTTGTTGAAGACAATAAGACTTCTATTCCAGACTTTTGGCTGATTAATAAGTTGCTATAACTTATTGTTGTCAAATCTAGTTTATGATGTACATATGTTTGTTTTATTTGCAGAAATCTTTGATGGTGATTGGTATAGATGTTTATCATGATGGTAAAGGTAGCAATAAGAGGTCTGTTGTTGGTGTTGTCTGTTCAATCAACCAACGCCTCACTAAGTACTACAGCAGGGTAGCACACCAAATGCCTGGAGAGGAACTGGTTGCTAAGCTGAAGCCCCTAGTCATTGCTGCCCTCAGGAAATACCACGAGGTAAGTTAGTTACAGACCACTTATATAGTGGTTCACAAGTTTACACTTATAAACCTTTGTATGAGTGCACATAAAAGAACATAGGGCTCCTTCAAGGAGGTACTTTTGGGTCCGTCTTCCAGGATAACTTGCATGAATTATGACTGTATAATATGGGATATGGCAAGAGGTATTGCTCACCTTAATTGGTGGTAAACAAAATACAATACAAAATAAAATAAGCCATTTATTGTCTGCCTGCCCAAAAAGCTCAGTGGCGGCATGTCTTCCTCTGGTGTATCGCGTGCCCAGTGCAGACAAAAATGTTTTCAATACATTTTTAAGTAAGAGTTGTCAACAACTCTAATCTATATACAAATTCTTCATAATCATATGGCTCTTTCAAGGAATTATTACTATTTCTCAATGATGTTATTTTTGTTTGTCTTTAGGTAAATCACTCTCTACCAGAGCGTATTGTTCTGTTCCGTGATGGTGTTGGAGATGGCCAGCTTGACATAGTAGGAGGCTATGAGGTGTCTCAGCTTGCGGAGTGCTTCCCTGTTTTTGGTGAAGAGTACCAGCCAAAACTGACTGTTGTTATTGTCCAGAAACGTATCAACACAAGGATGTTTGCCATCCAGGTATGCAAGAATCAGATGCAATTACTTAGATGGCTAACCAGACATTGAACTTGCAAACATGTTTGAGTTTTCAACAAAAAATTTGTGTCTTTAAATGGTTACCCGAATGCTTTTAAATTGGTAGAAGTTCTGATATACTAATGTTTCCAATGTTTTTATTATTTTTCATATTAATAGTAGTGCTTTGTGTGTTTCAGGGCAGGAACTTTGAGAATGCTCCGCCAGGCACAGTGTTGGATCATTCAGTCACCAGGAGAGACAGGTAAGCAATGACACTATTCACTCACTAAATTCAATCCGCCCCAAAAAAAAGTTCAAATACTTTCACTGTGCAGAGGATTCGTTTGAATTTCAGACAACAGGCAAAACAAATGAAATCCTCACTGTTATTGCAAATGAAAATTTATAATGAGAATAGTTGCAAAATGGGGAAAATTTGTTGTGTTTAGCCAATGGAACCCCTGAATGATACTGAAGATATCATCAAATGAAGTAAAAACAAAATGATCCAAAATCACTTTCATTTGAATCAGAAAAAATTCTCATTTCTGATTGAGCTAGATTTTTATGTCGCCACCACAAGTGGTTACATATTGGTATAATCTCCCAACTTTTTGGTGTGGACAGTGATCATGACAGTGGCCTATGTAACAAATGGCAGGTGGTAACATTTTGCATTTTTATGTCACCACCAAAAGTGGTGACATATTGTTATGGTCTCCGTTTTTTTATGTCACCACCAAAAGTGGTGACATATTGTTATGGTCTCCGTTTTTTTGCGACGGCGTCCGGCGGTTGGTGGTTGGCGTCCGGCGTCCGGCGGTTGGCGTCTGTAACAATTTCTTACAACTTCCTATAACTTAACAAATACTGTTTAGACTGACTTCAATTTTTTTCTAAATCATCTACATGTTCTCAGAAGTTCAAATCTGACTTTAGATTTGACATTTGACCTTCAATGACCTTCTCAAGGTCAAAAAGGTCTTTTTTCAACTTGCTTCACATTGACTAAATTTTTTTTCAAAATCATCTACATGTTCTCAGAAATTCAAATCTGACTTAAGATTTGACATTTGACCTTCAAATCTGACTTTAGATTTGACATTTGACCTTCAATGACCTTCTCAAGGTCAAAAAAGGTCAAAAAGGTCTGTTTTCAACTTGCTTCAAATTGACTAAATTTTTTTTTCAAAATCATCTAAGTGTTCTCAGAAATTCAAATCTGAGTTAAGATTTGACTTAAGATTTGACATTTGACCTTCAATGACCTTCTCAAGGTCAAAAAAGGTCAAAAATGTCTGTTTTCAACTTGCTTCAAATTGACTAAATTTTTTTTCAAAATCATCTACGTGTTCTCAGAAATTCAAATCTGACTTAAGATTTGACATTTGACCTTCAATGACCTTCTCAAGGTCAAAAAAGGTCAAAAAGGTCTGTTTTCAACTTGCTTCAAATTGACTAAAAAAAATTTTCAAAATCATCTACGTGTTCTCAGAAATTCAAATCTGACTTTCGATTTGACTCAAGATTTGACATTTGACCTTCAATGACCTTCTCAAAGTCAAAAAAGGTCAAAAAGGTCTTTTTTCAACTTGCTTCAAATTGACTAAATTTTTTTTTCAAAATCATCTACATGTTCTCAGAAATTCAAATCTGACTTTAGATTTGACATTTGACCTTCAATGACCTTCTCAAGGTCAAAAAAGGTCAAAAAGGTCTGTTTTCAACTTGCTTCAAATTGACTAAATTTTTTTTTCAAAATCATCTACGTGTTCTCAGAAATTCAAATCTGACTTAAGATTTGACATTTGACCTTCAATGACCTTCTCAAGGTCAAAAAAGGTCAAAAAGGTCTGTTTTCAACTTTCTTCAAATTGACTAAAAAAAATTTTCAAAATCATCTACGTGTTCTCAGAAATTCAAATCTGACTTTAGATTTGACTTAAGATTTGACATTTGACCTTCAATGACCTTCTCAAAGTCAAAAAAGGTCAAAAAGGTCTTTTTTCAACTTGCTTCAAATTGACTAAATTTTTTTTTCAAAATCATCTACATGTTCTCAGAAATTCAAATCTGACTTTAGATTTGACATTTGACCTTCAATGACCTTCTCAATGTCAAAAAAGGTCAAAAAGGTATTTTTTCATCTTGCTTCAAATTGACTAAATTTTTTTTCAAAATCATCTTCATGTTCTCAGAAATTCAATAATGTCTTTAGATTTGACATTTGACCTTCAATGACCTTGTCAAGGTCAAAAAAGGTCAAAAAGGTCTTTTTTCAACTTGCTTCAAATTGACTAATTTTTTTTTTCAAAATCATCTACATATTCTCAGAAATTCAAATCTGACTTTAGATTTGACATTTGACCTTCAATGACCTTCTCAATGTCAAAAAAGGTCAAAAAGGTATTTTTTCATCTTGCTTCAAATTGACTAAATTTTTTTTCAAAATCATCTACATGTTCTCAGAAATTCAAATATGACTTTAGATTTGACATTTGACCTTCAATGACCTTGTCAAGGTCAAAAAAGGTCAAAAAGGTCTTTTTTCAACTTGCTTCAAATTGACTAATTTTTTTTTTCAAAATCATCTACATGTTCTCAGAAATTCAAATCTGACTTTAGATTTGACATTTGACCTTCAATGACCTTCTCAAGGTCAAAAAAGGTCAAAAAGGTCAAAAAGGTCTGTTTTCAACTTGCTTCAAATTGACTAAATTTTTTTTTCAAAATCATCTACGTGTTCTCAGAAATTCAAATCTGACTTAAGATTTGACATTTGACCTTCAATGACCTTCTCAAGGTCAAAAAAGGTCAAAAAGGTCTGTTTTCAACTTGCTTCAAATTGACTAAAAAAAATTTTCAAAATCATCTACGTGTTCTCAGAAATTCAAAACTGACTTTAGATTTGACTTAAGATTTGACATTTGACCTTCAATGACCTTCTCAAAGTCAAAAAAGGTCAAAAAGGTCTTTTTTCAACTTGCTTCAAATTGACTAAATTTTTTTTTCAAAATCATCTACATGTTCTCAGAAATTCAAATCTGACTTTAGATTTGACATTTGACCTTCAATGACCTTCTCAATGTCAAAAAAGGTCAAAAAGGTATTTTTTCATCTTGCTTCAAATTGACTAAATTTTTTTTCAAAATCATCTACATGTTCTCAGAAATTCAATAATGTCTTTAGATTTGACATTTGACCTTCAATGACCTTGTCAAGGTCAAAAAAGGTCAAAAAGGTCTTTTTTCAACTTGCTTCAAATTGACTAATTTTTTTTTCAAAATCATCTACATGTTCTCAGAAATTCAAATCTGACTTTAGATTTGACATTTGACCTTCAATGACCTTCTCAATGTCAAAAAAGGTCAAAAAGGTATTTTTTCATCTTGCTTCAAATTGACTAAATTTTTTTTCAAAATCATCTTCATGTTCTCAGAAATTCAATAATGTCTTTAGATTTGACATTTGACCTTCAATGACCTTGTCAAGGTCAAAAAAGGTCAAAAAGGTCTTTTTTCAACTTGCTTCAAATTGACTAATTTTTTTTTTCAAAATCATCTACATATTCTCAGAAATTCAAATCTGACTTTAGATTTGACATTTGACCTTCAATGACCTTCTCAATGTCAAAAAAGGTCAAAAAGGTATTTTTTCATCTTGCTTCAAATTGACTAAATTTTTTTTCAAAATCATCTACATGTTCTCAGAAATTCAAATATGACTTTAGATTTGACATTTGACCTTCAATGACCTTGTCAAGGTCAAAAAAGGTCAAAAAGGTCTTTTTTCAACTTGCTTCAAATTGACTAATTTTTTTTTTCAAAATCATCTACATGTTCTCAGAAATTCAAATCTGACTTTAGATTTGACATTTGACCTTCAATGACCTTCTCAAGGTCAAAAAAGGTCAAAAAGGTCAAAAAGGTCTGTTTTCAACTTGCTTCAAATTGACTAAATTTTTTTTTCAAAATCATCTACGTGTTCTCAGAAATTCAAATCTGACTTAAGATTTGACATTTGACCTTCAATGACCTTCTCAAGGTCAAAAAAGGTCAAAAAGGTCTGTTTTCAACTTGCTTCAAATTGACTAAAAAAAATTTTCAAAATCATCTACGTGTTCTCAGAAATTCAAAACTGACTTTAGATTTGACTTAAGATTTGACATTTGACCTTCAATGACCTTCTCAAAGTCAAAAAAGGTCAAAAAGGTCTTTTTTCAACTTGCTTCAAATTGACTAAATTTTTTTTTCAAAATCATCTACATGTTCTCAGAAATTCAAATCTGACTTTAGATTTGACATTTGACCTTCAATGACCTTCTCAATGTCAAAAAAGGTCAAAAAGGTATTTTTTCATCTTGCTTCAAATTGACTAAATTTTTTTTCAAAATCATCTACATGTTCTCAGAAATTCAATAATGTCTTTAGATTTGACATTTGACCTTCAATGACCTTGTCAAGGTCAAAAAAGGTCAAAAAGGTCTTTTTTCAACTTGCTTCAAATTGACTAATTTTTTTTTCAAAATCATCTACATGTTCTCAGAAATTCAAATCTGACTTTAGATTTGACATTTGACCTTCAATGACCTTCTCAATGTCAAAAAAGGTCAAAAAGGTATTTTTTCATCTTGCTTCAAATTGACTAAATTTTTTTTCAAAATCATCTACATGTTCTCAGAAATTCAAATATGACTTTAGATTTGACATTTGACCTTCAATGACCTTGTCAAGGTCAAAAAAGGTCAAAAAGGTCTTTTTTCAACTTGCTTCAAATTGACTAATTTTTTTTTCAAAATCATCTACATGTTCTCAGAAATTCAAATCTGACTTTAGATTTGACATTTGACCTTTAATGACCTTCTCAAGGTCAAAAAAGGTCAAAAAGGTCTGTTTTCAACTTGCTTCAAATTGACCAAATTTTTTTTTCAAAATCATCTTCATCTTTTCAGAAGTTCAAATTTGACTTTACAAGTTCTCAGAAATTCAAATCTGACTTAAGTTTGAACTCATAGTATTGTGAGCAACTAGGTGGTGACATTTTGTCATGTTAATGCCTTGTTAATGCTTTGTTATCAATTTTTAGGTATGATTTCTTCATTGTGTCCCAGCACGTGAGACAGGGAACAGTCACCCCTACACATTACATTGTTGTCCATGATGATTCATCGTTCAAAACAGATCAGCTTCAGAGGCTAACATACAAGATGACACATCTCTACTATAATTGGCCTGGTACAGTCCGTGTACCTGCACCTTGCCAGGTATGTCTTCATTATAATTATTATTACTGTATAGCTCAAATTAAGGACATTTTCCTAGAGAAATATTTTTACTTGTTCAGACATTTTTGAAATGTGGAAAAAGAAGTTCTCAGACTTTTGTACCTTGATTTTATTTTATTTAAAAACTATATTTATTCTAGGTAGCTATATTAATAAAAAACTGGTCTTCCTAGAGGCCCAGTGATAATTTACAATTTTTTGTATATATGAGGTCATTAGTGACATGATTGCAACTAATGTATAGTTTTTTTAGGACAATTTGAGATTCCTTCAGCTTTTATTTAAAAATGAACTTTTTAATGTGACTTTCAAAAAGCTCTGATTAATCAGATTAATTCAGTCCACAATTTTATTTGTTATTTACTTAATTCTTGTGATAAAACTACAGGGTGGGAAAAATGGGACACTCACATATATTCTATTTTAAAAAGCAAATATGAACCAAATGTCATAACAATCGGGCAGTATAAAATTTTTGAACATTTCTAGATTTGTAAAATTCCATATCAAACAACACAAGTTTTTTTTTTTTATTCTTTAATCATATTGTACTTTGTAACATTAATGACATTTACCCTGTCGCTATATTACAGTATGCCCACAAACTAGCATACCTGGTGGGTCAGAGTCTCCACAAGGAACCCAACATTGCCCTGTGCAGCCGCCTCTTCTATTTGTAAATGATGTGCTCAAACCACCATGATCTATGCAAGAGATGCTCGGAGCCAAAATGCATTTATGCGGTAAATGAACATGGTTTAGCAATGTGGTTGAGGGACCAATCAGGAAGTGATAGTCATATGGATATTAAATGTCCCATATTTGGTGCTCGGCTTTTAAGAAACTGAAGGGAGATTAAGCGCGTATGAAACACTGGCGTGTACTTCCAGAATAAGGCGGCAATAACTATGTATTTGCATATGTACTTCAAGCGAGTTATAAACACCTGGTTATCTGACAAGTATAAATGATCTCTGATCTTATTATGATCTTTGATCAAACTGTGATCTCAGATCCAACAATGTATATTGATCTTGGAACCACTGATGATCTTGAATTTCACTGAACCATTTACCAATAAGAAAAATGGCTTGATTAATAATCATATATTTTTGGTGGTTCTAGCTTTGTGCAAAATGAAAACATGTACATGATGTAAAATAGGATAACGTGCCTTTGAACTGTACATAGGTATGTAAATAAACATATTGTATATGGGTGTGATATTTATTTTAAATCTCGGGGATAGTCTATTTGATCTGAATACTAGAACCAAAGCTTGTGTTTTTATTTTAAGATATGTGCACTCAGTATTTGTTTTATCTTAGTCTGTTAAGAAGTATACGATTTGTTTTAGGAATAACTGATTTTAGTTAAGTATCATTATCAAGAATGATTCTTGTACACATCGTCTGTGATTCTCTAAGGTTGAAATTATTCATTGTTTTCTTTTAAATGGCTCAACCAAGGAAGAGGTGTACATTATATTTATTATTTGAAAACTGAAATACAATGAATAAATTCAATCATATTTTTGAACCTATCATACATAGATGTGAAATGTTGGTAAACAAAAAGTAGCATAAAAGATTTTTGATGATTATTGTAAGTGCATACATTATTTAGAGAAAGTTGAATTCATGTACATCATTGTAGAGTAAAGAATATGGAAGATTAGCATGGGGATGTACATTTGATCGATATGGTCATTTTATTTTAGATATAAGCTCTTCTCGGTAGACAGTAGCTAATCTGTGGTTTTGAGTGCCTGAACTGATCAAAATACTTTTATACTGAGCAAAAATGGCAGAAACTTAATTTTGTTATCTCTAAAAATGCAATGTTTATTTATTTCTGACAATTTTGTTTCATAAATTTGGATGCAGATCTCATAGTTTTGTTCAGAATAGAAAATTTTGATCACCTACTCTCATGACTCATGTCATTTCAAATTAATTTAGATTTTGTATTGAGACATTCATGTACATGTATTTTGAAAAATTTAGTCCACTGATTGTTCTAGGCTATTTAGTGCATTAGTTAATATTTGGTTTTCAACTAATTAGTTTTAAAATGTATAAATTGTATATTCTGTTTAGCATATGTTATAGTCAGAAGTATAAAGTAACAGAGTTAACAGTTGAGGTGTCCGCATCAATGCAATATTATAACAGAATGTTTCATTTTGAATTCAAGTAAGATTTATAGCTCTGTAATTCTCACAATACAAGATGCATAAGCACTTGTTGGGAATTCAATTAATCTTAATGTTAACTTAAAATATATAAAATCAGACATGTGACAGGATACCAAGGGATTCATGGTAGGCGGGCGGAATTGGAGGTCCAAAAAAAAGTTTAATGTACAGTTGCAACATATTCTCGTATTTGGTACCGTTGGAAAGCTTGTGGTGCCTAGATTTGAGATCCACTTGTTAGCAATTACGAAATGTGGGCCGAATGTGTCTAAAACGCCCGTTTCCATGGTAACCACAAAAATATGGTGTTAATAAGCAGAAAATTGTTTTTATGCATAACTTCACTAATATTGCTCTGATTTTAATGAAATTGGTATCAAATTAAAGAGAATTAAAAGTCCCATTTTTGAAAATAACATTTATGCAAATTAGCTCATTTGCATATTGATTGTGACGTCATCACTGCATTATTTTGCGTATTTTTGATAAACGAGTATATTTATTTCAGTACAGTAATGTACAGTTGCAACATATTCATGAATTTGGTACCGTTGGAAAGCTTGTGGTGCCTAGATTTGAGATCCACTTGTTAGCAATTACGAAATGTGGGCCGAATGTGTCTAAAACGCCTGTTTCCATGGTAACCACAAAAATATGGTGTTAATAAGCAGAAAATTGTTTTATGCATAACTTTACTGAAATTGCTCCGATTTTGATGATATTGGTATCAAATTAAAGAGAATGGAAATTTCAATTTTTGAAAATAACATTTATGTTTCTGAAACATTTATGCAAATTAGCTCATTTGCATATTGATTGTGACGTCATAACTGCATTATTTTGCATATTTTTAGATAAATGAGTATATTTATTTCAGTACGGTAATTTGAAGTAACAACATATGAATGAATTTGGTACAGTCAGAAAGCTCATGATTCCTAGTTTTAAGATCTGCTTAATAGCAATTCTGAAAAGTGGACCGAATGCATCTAAAATGCCAATTTCCATAGTAACCACAAAATATGGTGTTCATAAGCAGAAAATGTTTTCCCATGCATAACTTTACTAATATTGCTCCGATTTTGATGAAATTGGTATTAAATTAAAGAGAATTAAAAGTTCTAATTTTGGAACTTACTTTTATGCAAATTAGCTAATTTGCATATTGATTGTGATGCCATCACTCCATTATTTTGTATGTTTTTTCGAATACATGAGTATATTTGATTCAGAATTTCTGATTGCAAATCCAAGAAAACGAAACACTACATGTACGTTCATTTTGGCATCGCTAAAAATGGGCATAACTTTGATGTTCTTTGCCCCAGTCAACTTACAAATCATAAAAAGGGACTCATTTGGAAAAACCCAAGCATCTGTCTCAAGGTGGTGGGAGAGGTGTCCACTATTATGTCAAGGTCACTGTTCCACAGATCCAGCTGTGGATGACTCTAACTGCCGTTAGCTTCATTCAAGATGGTTGCCGAAATTCTTTCGTTTTCAATAAACCCCCGTTTCAGCTAAACTAAGTTGAACCTGGATTCCAAATGTTTCGCCATGCAAAGTAATAAGCTACGACAGTTAATAACCACAAATAAATGCTCAAACAACCGCCATATTGGAGGATTTTAAAGAAATGGCTTGACTTAGAATGACTCTGACTGAGTTAGAATGACTCTAACTGAAGTTGATGACCTAATGATGACGTAGATCATCAACTTCAGTTAAAGTCATTCTAAGTGAAGCCACAATCGTAGTTTTATTAATTTGCATTGCGAAACTGTTGGAATCAAGATTCAACGTAGTTTAGCTGAAATCGGGGGTTTATCGAAAACGAAAGAATCTTGGCAACCATCTTGAATGAAGCTAACGGCAGTTAGAGTCATCCAGCTGTGGAACAGTGACCTTGACATAATAGGATCTCCAAACATTAATTTCTGTTTCTTTCGAAATACTGGCAAAGATGGCTGTTTAAATATGGGTTCACACAATGTTTACCATCAAAATAATATCAAACTTTATTATTAGGTGAAATTTAGTGTATGGAACACATGGCAGAAAATTTGGAGCAGGACATTGACAAAATGTATCTATGTGTGCAATTAATTTATGCATATCTGGAAAATAATAGGTTGTTCATTAAATCAACTTCAAAATGACAGTTTAATTTATGAAAATGAAAAGGCTAATCCTGTGGCCGACAGCCGATAGTTGCACAAGTGAACACAAGCTAAGATTGCAATTTTAAAGTTTCCTTTGTCATTTCAAATCTATTAAGTGTAGTGTAAATGGGGACTTTTTGTTTGTTTTCTGAAAACGACAGACAGTGACATTGTCTATTGGTATGTTTATATCTTAATCAAATATAAAGATTTTAATGGCCTAAGTGCTTTAACCCTCGTGTGTACATTGGGGGTCGGATTTTCCCCGGTATTTCTCTGACAAGAAAAAACATTTTTATTGCCATAGTACCTATAGCTATAGATAAGATATCATTTTTGGTGCAAAATTCGAGGTGATTGGGGGTAATTTGGCTGAGTTAGGATGGTGGGAACTTTTTCAGATATTGCTTGAAAATTGCACCATCTCTATGGTTTCATAGAATAAAAATATAAGCTGGCTCTTTTTACTTTCTTTTTGATAAAGACCATATAGTATACTAAATACCTTTACAAATAAGGCATATTACAAGGTAATCTGACTTTTATTGACTGAGATATGAAGTTTTCAATATAATATTGTGTGGGTTAGGAGGATGTAGAAGAGAGATGTTGGGAGCCCCCCCCCCTCCCTTCGAAAATTGTGATATGATCATGTTACATAGCATGTATTATATTGCACAGTATATAGCATGGTAGCATAGCATGTACCAAGGTAGCATATTATGTAGCATAGTAGCATAACATATAGTAGCATAACATGTAACATAGCATGAAGCATGGTAGCATAACATGTAGCATAGCTGGAAGCATAGAAGCTTAACATGTAGCATAGCATGTAGCATAGTAGCATAACGTGTTGCATAGCATGTAGCATTGTAGCATTACTTATTGCATAACACGTAGCATGGTAGCATTACTTGTTGTATAACATGTAGCATGGTACATGGTAGCATAACATGCAGCATAACTAGTAGCATAGTAGCACAACATGTAGCATAGAATGTAGCATCGAAGCATAACTTGTAGTAATAAGTATAGCATGTAGCATAGCTAATACCATAGTAGCATAACATGTAGCATAGCGTGTAGCATAGTAGCATAACATGTATTATAGTAGCATATTTTGTAGCATAGTTAGTAGCATGGTAGCATAACATGCAACATAGCATGTAGAATAGTAGCAAAACATTTAGCATAGCATGTGGCATAACAAGTAGCATAGTAACATAGCATGTTGCATGGTAGCATAATGTGTAGCATAGCGTGTAGTATAGTAGCCTAACATGTAGCATAGCATGTATCATAGTAGCATAACATACGAGGGTTGATCATGAAGTTCTCTACCCTTTGCATTCGTTTGACTTCACTTCTTAAAAGAGAGCTTCGTCTTCACTCTTTCAAACTAAAATAAACCTGTGAACTCACCGCGCCAATCAGTGTTCGTCGGCCAAATTTGACCGACGTTCTTTATATGGTCATTCCTTCTTACGTCATCGTTGAGCCCGGAATTGACCAATGACATGCGCATATTTAATTAGAACGCATTTGGCGCATGTTTCTTCAAGCTCGCTGATTGGTGGAAGGTCAGTGCGTACGTCAAAAGTGATTTACCCAAACTGTCACCGGTACCAGTCGTGGGGGCGGGGCTACTAAACTGTAATATGGTCTCTACTAGGCAGAGTGTAGTTTTATTAGACTCTGCAAGCAGGGTAGAAGTTCTCCTAATATCTCTCTAATTTCGTTATTTTTTAATATATTTTAATGAAATTTTCGCAGATTGTGCAGCAAAGAATGTCCGATTAATTCAGCAAAAAATATTTAGTTTAACAGAAATATTAATTAAGAAATGGTTGCCATAGTAACGGGAAATCAAGGCACCCGGGGCAAATAAAAATAATTGAGAGAATGAGCTTAATTAACCATGTTTACATGTTTAAAAAGCTCTCATGAATTACCAAACATGTTAAAATGTTAACTTGAATATGTTGTAAAGTGCTTTAACAATTAAATGGATCGATCGTGTAAATTGCATGATGTCATAGGGGATGCTTTCATGCTTCATTAGATGTGATACCAGAGTCTGGGACTCAAAGCTAATGATCAGAAATGACTGAGTAAGAGAATGCAATGGATGCACAAATCTTCAGGAAAATAACATTCATACTGATAAAATGTTATGTTAAGTTTGTAAGACCCTTTGGTCAGACTAAACATGATCTAAAACAAATATATTGCTAAGATATCAACATAATTACACCTTTTGTGTGGTCTGTATATGTTTAAAATGAACTAAAGGAGCAAAATCAATTTTCCTCGGGATATTTGACAAAACAGTCATGGGGTCAAACAGTCACTTCTAATGAAGCATAACAATCATCCATTATGAGATCACACAATTCACATGACCATTACAATAGTTCACAACAGTCAAGGACACGTGTAATTTGACAATTTAATGTGTTTGATAGCTTATT